ATCTCAGCAAGCGTGATGACCTGAGTTCCCTCCCTGGAGCTCACACGACGGAAGGAAGAAAAACGATTCCTGATGAGTCCTGTTGTCCCCTGACCTCCACGGTGCACCATGCTACGCACGTTCACACCCTACCCCTACTCCACATCTCCCCGCCCCACGCCCGCATAATAAATAAACTAACGTAGTAGACACTTTGGAAAGGAAAACCCGCACCTCCATTCCTGAGTGCCCCTGTCCCCCCTTTCCTCTTGCCGCTGCGTTGGCCCCTCTGGCCACCCCAACTCTCAGGGACAGGGCAGAGGCTGAAGGCCACCTTGATCAGCAGTGGCCAGTGAGGTCATCAAGGGTGTTGTTAAATATGGAGTAAGGACAGGCGCGATGGACGGAGCACGAGCCATGGAGAGCATGTTAACCATAGTTTATTATAGCGAGACCAAAAGCGGGGGAGACAGACGAGAGAGGGAGAGGGAGAGGGAGAGGGAGAGGGAGAGGGAGAGGGAGAGGGAGAGGGAGAGAGGGAGAGGGAGAGGGAGAGGGAGAGAGAGAGAGGGAGAGAGAGAGGGAGAGGGAGAGGGAGAGGGAGAGAGGGAGAGGGAGAGGGAGAGGGAGAGGGAGAGGGAGAGGGAGAGAGGGAGGGAGGGAGGGAGAGACAGAGACGAGAGTAAGAGAGGATGAGATGATGAGAGTAAGAGTAAAAGAGTAAGAATAAAAGATCGTAAGCGGGCAGAGAGGGGTCAGTCCTTCAAAGGGGTCCTTTGCACATGCGTGGTTCTCACGGAACCCTGGGCTGGCCAGAGTGCTGCCTGAGTGCATCCTGCCAGGTAACAGGGCAGGCCAGCGCAATGCCTGAACCTTTCACCATCCTTCATGAGAAACCAGTACCCGCCTCTCCCTGGCTTCTACGGGAATGGGACACCTGCGCTTGTGACCGGTACTTGGGGACGGTCTTAGGGGCTGAGCCCCATCTGTGAGGTGCTGCTGCCAGCAATGACCATGTGGGGAGCCTAGTTAGAGGACGCTCAGCTCAGCTCCTGCTGCTTTGCATGCTGGGAACCCCCTGGCCCACACCTGCAGTCAGAAGCAGTTGATAGATGGGGAGGAGGGTTTGTTTCTTCCTGTCCCAGGACCACTCCCCCCTCTCTGGGTGCTTCTGATCCTTCTCTAAGACTCATATCCTTACCCTTTGATGCCTTTCTTCAGGCACTGCCTCCTCATCCCCATAGCAACGGGGCTCTGCTGCTCTCTGACGTTCAAAGCTCTCCATCTCGTTCTTTCTTGGAGTTTTATTTTCTTTTGTAAAATTAATGAATAAAAATTGCACGCGTGAGCCGGGCGTTGGTGGCGCACGCCTTTAATCCCAGCACTCGGGAGGCAGAGGCAGGAGGATCTCTGTGAGTTCGAGACCAGCCTGGTCTGCAAGAGCAAGTTCCAGGACAGCCTCCAAAGCCACAGAGAAACCTTGTCTCGAAAAACCAAAATAAATAAATAAATAAATAAATAAATAAATAAATAAATAAATAAATGCATGCGTAAGACGGGCGACAGATTTTTGTTGCATTTGTCTATTTGTGTGTGTGTGTGTGCACATGTATGTGTACATGTGTGTGGCATGCATGCACATGGAAGGCAGAAGGCAACTTTTGGAACTTTGTTCACTCTTTCTATCATGAGGGTCCCGAGGATCGAACTCGGGTCATTAGGTCTAGCAGCAGGAACCTCTACTGACTGATCTATCTTGCAAGCCCCCACGCAATGTTTTGGTATAAAAGTATGCAGGCCAGGGCTATAGCGCACTCATGTGTGAAGTGCTGCAACTGTCCTGTTGCAAGGATGAAGTCTCCTTCCTTGGTCCTTTGAAAGTTGCCTCCTGTCCAGACGTGGTGGCATACGCCTATAACCCTTGGAAGGCGGGGGTGAGCAGATCAGGTTTTATGGTCATCCTTAGCTACACACAGAGTTCAAAGCCAGCCTGGGCTACACAAGACTGTACCAGTTTGTGTCTCTCAGTAGGCCTTTTACGGAGATTATATTCCTCTGTTTTGTCCAGCATTTTAAATTCTAAAAAGCCTCACATAAACAACTAAGATTGTAGCCCCTAATTAGATAACCCTTCCTCGGGTTTACAGAACTCAGAAAAACCTGCTGACCTTCAGATGACGTCAGAGCACCCTTTAGTTTAGTCCGTGTACCAACACGAAATATGCAAACTGATAAGCAATTTAGCTGTAAAAAAAAAAAAAGGGAGTCATGGGACCATTATAAGAGGAGAAAAGAAGTCCAAGCTCACTTTGAGCTCCCACAAGGAAAAAGGAAACGTTCTGGAGATGGGAACCCAGTCCAGGAGGCAACTTCCTGTCCACCTTCTCCCTGAACCTCCATTCCTCTTTAGAAGAGTGTGGTGTGGTGGGGCACACCTTTAATCCCAGCTCCCCGGAGCCACTACATAGAGAGTTCCAGGCCAGCCAGGGCTCAAAAAAAAAAAAAAAAAGTCCCTTGTGTCCCAGAGTTCCCTAAGACAGGAGTCTGGGGTCAGGACTCCCTCCAAATACTAGACCGTGAATAAACTTGACTCCCTCGTCTCTCTTATCTCCTGAATGTTTGCTTCTTCAGCAGTGAGGGGCCTGGACCCGGGTCTGCCGCACCTCCTGCGCAGCCTGTATCCGAGAATGTGGCGAGGTGGTCGGGATTGATGACACAGAGACCAGTCGGTTGTGTTAAGAAAACTTTATGCTCCCCAAATCGGCTTAGGAGAACTTCCCAAGAAAAACCCTTCCCTTCAGAAAAACTTCTGCCATCCATACACGCAGAAATCTCCAACAGCCCTCTCACACACCTCTCACAGACCTCTCCTTCCTCCTGGCTGGTGGTTAAATCTCTGGCACCAGAATTGGGAACAGCAGGGAGTCATTGGGAAGATCAAAGTCAGGGTGTTATCAAGCCCTTATCAGGAATTTATGGCACTGAATTGTTTTCAGTAAACGTGTTTTCAGTAAACATTGTCTCGCAGCTGCCTGCTCCCAGGCTGATTGAGGAGTGGGTTTCCAGTCAGGGTCTGTGATCCCCACACGGGTCTAGAGAGTGAAGGGCTGTTAACTAATTCCCATCTCTCTGCCTTACATCATACACTTAGCGTCATTATTGGGTGAGAATACGGAAGCCTGATTTCTCAGCAGTCTCAAGAGCAGGGTTTACCGTTTGTAACTGTAGACACGATGTTGGACATACGATGGGCCTGTGTGTGTAGGCCCCCACACACACATGTGAATGCGGGTCCATGTGCCTGTGCACACACCCGCCGAGTCCATAGGAGGACCTCGGGCATCTTCTTCTATTGTTCTCTGCCTTGCTGCCTTGAGACAGGTCTCTCACTGAAACAGGGGCTCAGTTGGCAGCACCCAGGATCTGTCTGCATCCATCCCACAATGAATGCTGTGACTCCAGTCCCAGGGGATGCAGCGCCCTCTCCTGGCCTCCACGGGGAACCAGACGCACACGTGGTGCACTTACACACCAGCAGGCAAAACGCTGTGTATGCTGTCATACACAGAATACACAGCATACACGCACACAGTTACGCACACTCCTGTATACACACGGGAATGTGTACTGTGCGCCCCGCCCACTCTCACAGGGAAGCCGGCCTCTGATGCTCCCTAACCACCAGGGCCTCGGGCTTGTCTCTGTCGTTGTCCTGCATCTGTTAAATGAGGGAGGGGGCTGTACCGAGAGACAGAGGGGGGGGAGCACAGTCTGGCACAGAGTGACCGAGGTCAATGCGGAGCCCCTCCCTGCTCACGTGTGTGTGTGTGTGTGCACAGATGTGCGTGCACACTCCTGCATGTGAGTGCCCGTGGAGGCCAGAGTGTGACATCAGTGTCCTCTATTTTTTTTGCTGTGTAAGTGAGTTTCGTCTGCATGTATGTCCCTGCACCACACTAGTGCTGTTCCTGCCTGTGGAGGCCAGATGAGGCCTCTTGTGGAGGGAGTTCAAGGGCAATTTAGTAAGACTTGGTCTCAAAACAAACTATTTCCTGGAGAGATGGCTCAGCGGGAAACAGCACTGGCTGCTCTTGCAGAGGACAGGGATTCCCAGCATCCATATGGTGGCTCACTGTCTTCTGTCACTCCAGTTCCAGGAGTGCTGGGCCAGCCTTTTGTAGACCCACTCCCTGGTAATGTATTATTATTCTGTCCTCAACCGGGCCAGGTATCCCTGAGACTTCATTATCAAACCCAACCACTTCCGCTGCCCACCTCTCTCCACAGATCAAGTCTAGACCTTTCGCTGGGTCAGTCGGTTCTCAACCTTCAGGTCGTGACCCCCCCTTGGGGCGGCCTCTTTCAAAGGAGTCGCCTGAGACCACGGGAAAACACAGATATGTTCATTACGACTCATAACAGTGGCAAAATTACAGTTGTGAAGCAGCAATGAAGATATTTTTACGGCTGGTGGTCACCACACGACGAGCAACTGCTATTCTGTTTGGTTTTTACGAGACAGGGTTTCTCTGTGGCTTTGGAGGCTGTCCTGGAACTCGCTCTGTAGACCAGGCTGGCCTTGAACTCACAGAGATCCGCCTGCCTCTGCCTCCCGAGTGCTGGGATTAAAGGCGTGCGCCGCCACCACCGCCTGCAGGAGGAATGTGTTAAAGGGTCGGAGCACTGAGAACCCCTGATCCACGTGTTCCTGCTGCCTTTGCTGAGCTGCGCCTCGCCGCCAGCTGAGTCAGTCCTGCATTCGCAGCACTCTCTGAGCTCAGACACTGGGACTCCTCCCTTCCTTCGCATCCTACCCCGGTCCCGCCGCCACTACTGAAGACCCGGGATTCGAACTCGAAATCAGAGGAGCGGCCCGCCTAGCCAAACAATGGGCCCGCCCAGAGGGACAATGCGCACGCGCCTCGCCAAGAGGCAACGTGCTCCCGCCCCCTCCGCAATCCGCATGCGTGCTGAAACCAGGAGCCTCCATGTACGCATGCTCAGCCTAGCGCGCGCGCGCCCAGGCCGTGGCGCATGCGCAGAGCCATCAGCGCGGGCCTGACTCGCTCCACCGCGCTCTGTCCTCCTGGTGTTCCCCTTCTGGGCGCTTCCGGCACGCCGAGGCCTGTTCCGGAGTAGCTGGTACCCGCTTTCTCTGCCTCTTTCTCACGCTCGTGACCTCCCGGCACCGTTTACTCGGCGGGGGGCCCGTGGAAGACCTTCCCCGCCCACGCTACGCTCCTGTCACTCAGAGTGCGCGCCCGCCCCAGGAGCCAATCAGCAACCGCCTTAGGTAAGGGGGCGGGAACCCGCGGGCCTGTGAGACGCATGCGCGCCGGCGGGTCGGCGGGGGCGGGGCCTGAGGGGTGGGGCGTGTTGCTCAGGCCCCGCCCCGCGCCCTGCCGTTAAAAAGCTGGCCAATGTCAGTGGGAACCTGAACGGTCTGGGATTAGTGACGCCGTTAGCTGGAGGTACAAATAAATTAATGGAACCTGTAGCTCCTGGAAAGTGTCACTAGTACTGATGTGGCCCTCCTCATAGCATCGGGAGGACGCCCTACTCAACTCTTACATACTGCGGTTGCCGTCCGAGCAGTGTGTACGCCGGAATTGGATTTTTTTTTTCATGTATGACTGTAGGAAGGAGCCCCATATAAGACTGCAAATATAAATAATTTTAAGGACTAGGGCGCACTTACAAAGATGGGTTAGTAGGGCTGGGCACGGTGGCTCACACAGTAATCCCTGCAGTCGGGGAGCCAGAGGCAGGAGGATTGCCATGAGTTTGGGGCCAGCCTGAGCTACACAGTCAAGACCCTGTTTCAGAGGGAGAGGAGAGGAGGAGGAGGAGGGAACCAGATCATTAAGTTCTGGAATGTGTCGCGCCTCAAGAGAAAAGCCATTGGAACAGTTAGGAATCGGGGGTCTCCGGGAATATTTTGCAAGGCAGCTTGTCACTTCCGGAAGATTCCCTGGGAGAGATGCTTGAGAACTGAGCTGGCCCAGGGGTGGCAGGACGGCTCAGTCTGTGAAGTGGTTGTTTGCAAGCATGAGGACCTGAGCTTGAGCCCCCAACAGCCAGTGAAAAGTGGGGTGTGGTGGCGTGGATTGTAATCCCAGAGACGGGCAGATGTGTGGGGCCCTTTGGCCAGCCAGGATAGGCTGATTGATAAGCTGTGGGCAGCCACGAAGACTCATCTGGCGAGGGCCTAACAACCGGTTTCCATCTCTGGGACCTACGTGGTGGAAAGAGAAAGTGGTCTCTCAGGAGTTATCACCCGACCTCCACACATGTGACAGGGCTCTGTGCACACACGTGTTACTATAGAGCAGGTGACAGGGGCAGGCCAGCGCAACGCATGGGTCCTTACAGCACGAACACGCCCGCCTGCACTCACACAGCTAGTAATATGAAGCACAGTGGGCGGCACCCAAGAAACTACGCCTGAGGTTGACACCTGGCCTCCACGTGTTCACATAGACACCCAGGAAGCCCCCACCCTAAGAATGTACCGACTAGACTTCGTTTCCGAGAGGTCTCTGTGGGAGCCCTGTAAGTAAGGACTCTGGGAACAGCGTTGGAGGTCCCAGATTGTGCAGGTCGCCGGCTGCCTGGGTTCTGGATTACCCCCACACACTAAGTAGGCTCGGGCACTGACTCCCGAACACTGCTCCAATGGACTCTTCCTTGCCTGAGGGGGGGGGCAGTCACAGTAAACAGACACTTCAGCACCGGGGAGGTTTCCAGAATAATAGGGGAATAGACAGTTAATTGCAGGGGAGGAAGGAGTCCCAGGTTGTGAGGAGAGGGCCTGAGACTGTAAACAGTCATTTAAGCCCTGAGTCACCCCCCAAGCATGTTATCAGGCCCTTCCCCTCCTCAGTCAGTCCAGTTTGTGGCTGGGGAGAGGTCACTGGGGCCTAAGACAAGCCTCTACATGGCTAGCAAGACTGCCCTCAGTTATAGCGTCTCACGTGAACCTCTGACGTCATCGGGGCCTGAGGAGGGCACGGGGGACAGTTTGAAGGGAACACAGACTCTGTGTGTGTGGGTCCCAGGGGCCACACTGTCTCCACCTCCGCTACTTCTAGTGTTTGTAGAAGGCAGCCGTAGCCACTCTGGAATTGGTGGGGGCCAGGTTCCAATGCGATCGTGTGTTTGGAAATGGAAGACAGTGCAGGTTTGGTCTGTGGGCCACGGTTTGCCAGCCTGACCTGAGCATGATCCTGTGGGCAGTTGGGGACTCGGGGCAGTCCTGAGAACACATTCCGTTGTAAAGACCCCTTAGTGCCAAGTGGGCCACATGGCCTTAGGCTCCAGAACGTGTTGAGGATTAAACATGGAGAGACCTGTGAAGTTCAGAGCGGGGAAGGGTGGCCAGCAGAAAGTAAGTCCACGGGACCTCATGGGGCCTGTGAGAGCCAGCCCCCGCCCCCGCCACCACCCCGGCCACCGTACACACACATGGGTGGTCAGGAGTCCTCCAACTTGGCATTCTATTCCTGATTTGGAAGAAAATGATTTGCTGCCCGCTGGGAAGGAGACTGTCCTGTTTTTATGTGGCTCTGCTCCTGTAGGCTGTATTCGTGCTGTAACATTTCAGTAGGTGCAAATAGGTTGTTCTCACTGCCTTGGGGGTAGCCAACATTAGGCTGCGGTGGGATCGCCGTCGCTCGTCTCCTGTTTTACCATGCTTGCTGCTAAGCTGCCTGGAGATCAGGCTGGCTGATCACATTCTTTTTAAATGTGACAAAATGACGTGACCTGTTTCTAAAGGGAAGTTTGTCTCCGAGTGTTCCCAGACCGTGCTTCTGTTAACACACCACTTGCCACACCTAACTGCAAAAAAAAAAAAAAAAAATCTGAGAAGTATGGTCTGGATAGCTATGCGTTAACCTCACCAAACGGAAGAGGTCAGGACAGATACGGGCCACTGGCAGCCAGCGGCGGCCTCAGCCACAGAGCTCCCTCCCTTTTGGTGGTTCTGAGGGTGTATGTGTGGTTTTGTGCACATGAGTGCAGTACCCAAGGAAGCCAGAAGAGGGCGGTGGTCCCTGGAGCTGGAGTTGGAAGTGATTGTGAGCTGACCTCTGAGGGTGCTGGGAACAGGCCCCGGGGCTCCTGCAAGAGTGGTATTCACTCTTGACTGCTGAGCCATGCCTCCAGCCTCTGGCTTGCTTGTGGCTTTAGGTTGTGTTATTTTGGGGATTTATTTCTAAGAGTGGGTGTGTAAGTTGTTGTAATTTTAAAAAGCGGTTTGAGACAAAGACGCCATTGGACAGAGCTTGGGTGGAGGGGTTTTTTTATTGGGGGAAAGCGAATGGGAAAAGGGGGAGAGGAGGGGAGACCTGCCTCTGGGGACAGGAGCTGCGGAAGAGAAGAGAGAGGAAGAGGGGGGCAGAGGAGGGGAGGGAGGTGGGCGGGGCCTCTTTGAAAGGGAAGGTGGTGAACGTGCGTGGCTGGTGATCTTCTGATACGCTGAGGAGGTATCCTGTCAGAACCCAGGGATGGCCAGTCCAGAGGTGACTGTGGAGAGCACTGGTAACTTGGTGTATGGGATCAGTCAGTTCTCACCCGCCTGTGGGTCCTGGGGATTGAACTCAGGTCATGAGTGTTGGTGGCAAGCACCTTTACCCACTGAGCGGGTCCCAGAGCTTCCTTTTATACGGGAGAGCCTCCACGCAGTCAGCTGAGCTCCACGGAGAGGGGACTCATTTGTGCTAAACTCCCCTTGTTCCCTCCAGGGGACCATGTCAGAGTCTGGGCACAGTCAGCCTGGGCTCTATGGGATAGAGCGGCGGCGACGGTGGAAGGAGCCAGGCTCCGGTGGCCCCCAGAACCTCTCTGGGCCTGGAGGCCGGGAGAGAGACTACATTGCACCCTGGGAGAGAGAGAGACGGGTGAGTGAACCCTAAGATGGCGTGTAGGGATCCAGTGCCTCTAGTTTGGTCAAACTCCTGCCACAAGCCAGGCTCAGTGCAGGGGCAGGGGACACAGCGTGTCCAAAACTGCCCCCAGGGAGAGACCTTTGCTTTTCTTTAAAGATTATTTTTATTATTTTTAGTTATGTGAAAAAGGGATGTTCGGGAGGCGGATCTCTGTGAGTTCAAAGCCAGCCTAGTCTACATAGTGAGTTCCAGGACAGCCTCCAAAGCCACAGAGAAGCCCTGTCTCGAAAACACAAAAAAACGGGGGTTCACATGAGTGCAGGTGCCCTCGGAGGCATCAGATCCTCAGGAGCTGGACTTACAGGCAGTTGTGAGCCACTTGATGTGGTTGCTGGGAGCCGAACTCGGGTCCTGTGGAAGAGCAGCCAGTGCTCTTAACCATTGAGCCATGTCTCCAGCACCGAGAGGTGACTTTGAGTTGGGGCCTGAAGGAGGTGGAGGGACAAGCCATTCCAAACCCTTGATGAAGAGCGTTGCAGACCGAACGGCCTGTGCAGAGGTCTTGAGGTGGCCTGCGTGGTGGCTGGTCAAGCTGCAGCAGGAAGGGACCGCAGAGGAGGCAGCTCAGATCCACAGGCCTGACGGCTGCTACACGGGAAAGACCTCAGATCCCCAGGCCTGACGGCCGTCACAAGAAACCTGCTTTAGAGGACTGAGCAGAGCTGACGCCAGCTCCTGTCCTAGAGACGCCTGCCCCCACCCCAGCCCTGTCTGCTTCGCAGGCTTCCCGAACCCTCACAGGCACCTGTGGCCCGTGGACTCCCTGTCATGCATAGCCCTTGGGGGATGTCCAGGTCTTCCCACAGCTGGTCAGCCGTAGTCCCTGAAGAAGCTGCTTCAAGTCTTAGCTCTGTCTCAGGCGGGGCTGCTCCCTGAGCCTGTTACGTCCTGACTTGGCCATCTGGCCATAGTGCCTTCCTGTCATTCTGCAGTGTGTTCTCCCCCACCTGTCTGTCCTCCTTGTTAGACACCTGCCTCATGAGCACACCTGTCTGTCCCCACCCTTGTTAGACACCTGCCTCATGAGCACACCTGTCTGTCCCCACCCTTGTTAGACACCTGCCTCATGAGCACACCTGTCTGTCCCCACCCTTGTTAGACACCTGCCTCATGAGCACACCTGTCTGTCCCCACCCTTGTTAGACACCTGCCTCATGAGCACACCTGTCTGTCCTCCTTGTTAACACCTGCCTCATGAGCATACCTGTCTGTCCCCACCCTTGTTAGACACCTGCCTCATGAGCACACCTGTCTGTCCTCACCCTCCTTGTTAGACACCTGCCTCATGAGCACACCTGTCTGTCCTCCTCCTTGTTAGACACCTGCCTCATGAGCACACCTGTCTGTCCTCCTCCTTGTTAGACACCTGCCTCATGAGCACACCTGTCTGTCCTCACCCTCCTTGTTAGACACCTGCCTCATGAGCACACCTGTCTGTCCTCCTCCTTGTTAGACACCTGCCTCATGAGCACACCTGTCTGTCCTCCTCCTTGTTAGACACCTGCCTCATGAGCACACCTGTCTGTCCTCACCCTCCTTGTTAGACACCTGCCTCATGAGCACACCTGTCTGTCCTCCTTGTTAACACCTGCCTCATGAGCACACCTGTCTGTCCCCACCCTTGTTAGACCCCTGCCTCATGAGCACACCTGTCTGTCCCCTCCTTGTTAACACCTGCCTCATGAGCACACCTGTCTGTCCTCCTCCTTGTTAGACACCTGCCTCATGAGCACACCTGTCTGTCCTCACCCTCCTTGTTAGACACCTGCCTCATGAGCACACCTGTCTGTCCTCACCCTCCTTGTTAGACACCTGCCTCATGAGCATACCTGTCTGTCCCCACCCTTGTTAGACACCTGCCTCATGAGCACACCTGTCTGTCCTCCTCCTTGTTAGACACCTGCCTCATGAGCACACCTGTCTGTCCCCACCCTTGTTAGACACCTGCCTCATGAGCACACCTGTCTGTCCCCTCCTTGTTAACACCTGCCTCATGAGCACACCTGTCTGTCCTCCTCCTTGTTAGACACCTGCCTCATGAGCACACCTGTCTGTCCTCCTCCTTGTTAGACACCTGCCTCATGAGCACACCTGTCTGTCCTCACCCTTGTTAGACACCTGCCTCATGAGCACACCTGTCTGTCCTCCTCCTTGTTAGACACCTGCCTCATGAGCACACCTGTCTGTCCTCCTCCTTGTTAGACACCTGCCTCATGAGCACACCTGTCTGTCCCCACCCTTGTTAGACACCTGCCTCATGAGCACACCTGTCTGTCCTCCTCCTTGTTAGACACCTGCCTCATGAGCACACCTGTCTGTCCTCACCCTTGTTAGACACCTGCCTCATGAGCACACCTGTCTGTCCTCCTCCTTGTTAGACACCTGCCCCTGTGCACACCTGTCTGTCCTCCTTGTTAACACCTGCCTCATGAGCACACCTGTCTGTCCTCCTCCTTGTTAGACACCTGCCTCATGAGCACACCTGTCTGTCCTCCTCCTTGTTAGACACCTGCCTCATGAGCACACCTGTCTGTCAGTTATCATCCCCCCCCCCAGCCCCAGCCTCCATCCTCGGAGCTGTCCTTGCCAAGGCACTCACTGTGCGTCATCCTG